GTGCAGGAAGCTGTTGGTCATCACTTAGACCTCCTCATTAGGAGTGTCCTATTCTCTTCCCCACAGTTTACATTCAGCTGTTCTGGGAAGCAAGACATGCTCAGCACTTTCTCACAGGAAAAGAAGTAGCCCCAAGGCGGTCACAGCCATGAGGAAATCTGTAACAAAGGGAGGGACTCCACATCTCTGATAGCCATTCGTTGATAGGTGTGTCATACAAATGCTCTTTGCCACACATAGCCATTTCTTACAATGAGAGGCCTATTCGAACACCTACAGCAAGGTTCAGCTGCCATGTTGTTCCTCAGGGTCATTCGGTCTGGCTTTTTTGGCTCAGAGTCCAAGTAAGCCAAATAATAAACAAGGTTTGTCAGTGGGAGAGCCAATATGGTGCAGTGGTTAAAGTGTCAGACGAGGATCCGGGCCCAAATCCCCACTGTGCCATGGAAACTTGCTGGGTGACCTTGGGCCAGTCACATATTCTCAGCCTAACCCACCTCACAGGGTTGTTGTGAGGACAAAACAGAGAAGAGAATGATGTAAGCTGCTTTGGGTCCCCGTTGGGGAGAAAGGTGGGATGTAAATAAATAAACAAAATAAAGTTTCAGGTCTCACTATGGGAACACCAACAGGCCTCCCACTGCAGGTAACAACCAGGCAAGGCAAAGGTTGTCAATACTACATGGTCTAATGGTGGAAGGGAGTTACAAAACTCCCTTAAGCCTTATGAAGAATCACACACAGAGAACATCTCTATGCATGTTGGAGAGGATGGATCGTGCTATTCATTGAGTGGTTAGGGAATACCCATCATAGTATCGCATGAAACTTGAAGCTGCCTTATACTGAATCCAACCACTGGTCTGTCAAGGTGAATACTGTCTATTCTGACTGGCAGCAGCTCTCAAGTAGAGGTCTTTCACATCACCTATTAGCTGAGCCTTTTAACTGGAGATCCTGGTGATTGATCTGGGGACCTTCTGCATACAGAGCAGATGCTCTGCCACCGAGCCATGCCCCTTGCCCTCCCCATCAAAGTACAAACGAGGGCCCCAACATTGGGCACATAATCAGACACTATGGAAGTGACCATGCGGGGAATGAGATTCCTCCTCCTGTGCTTGACTGCATCTTCCATGTGTTGACTGGAACTTGTTAACAGGGATACGTATCTATACACCTCCATGTGCCTGGCTCTGAGCTTTTCTCAAATGGAGGCCATTGTTCACAGATTCTGGTACGGAGGCTGGGAACAGGGCCAACAGACGTAATCCTGTTCCCCTGCCCTTTAGTTGCTCATTTGGACCCTGTTTGACCATCTGCACTGGATTCCTGATGCCTGTTTTCACAATTGGTTATGCTTATACTTTATAGTTGTTGATCATTATTTTTGGACTCCGTATCTATAACATCTAAGCAGCTTGTTTTTTCTGAACACTGTAAACCCCCTAGCAGCCCTGGGAACTCCTTAATTACATAATCCGAAATAAGAGGAAAGATCACAAACAAAACCGTTTGTAGACTAATCCCCTTTTGGCATCTGTAAAACAAAAACAAGAAAAGTGTCCATGTAAAATAAACGAATGCATCTTGAGAAGTAATTTAAAGGTGGGGTTTTTTTAAACGATTTTCTTTTCCCCCCGTGCTACAACCCAACCCAAAGAGATGGTGAACTCCGAGCGAAAAAAGGAGTTTTGTTAGAAATGGCCTGTGTAACCATGTGACCATCGAGCCAAATGGAGCCCATGTATTCTTTGGCCTGGCATGCTCAGTGGCTTGGGTTGCCCACCTCCAGGTGGTGGCTGGAGATCTCCTGCTGTTATGACTGATCTCCAGGTGGCATAAATCAGTTCACCTGGAGAAAATGGCCACTTTGGAAGGTGGACTCTATGGCATTATACTATGCTGAGCTCCCTCCCCAAACCCTGCCCTCCTCAGGCTTCACCCCCCCCCCCCAAATTTCCAGGTATTTCCCAACCTGGAGCTGGTAACACTGTCAGCAGCCCTCCTCTGTGATAGGCCTCCATATATGAATGGGATGGAGACTAGATGCAGCTTGATGGGTCACAGTGGTGACATCAGGAAGGAGTGGAGCAGACAGAGGGTCTAACCTCTGGTTGTTATTGACTGAGCTGGTATAATCCTATGGGAGAAGTTAAGGGAGGAAGAGTCCAGGATGTGCAGAAGGCACGGGCATAAGGACACAGCAGTGGGTGAAAGCAAACTTAAAAACTTGGCCAGTGCGGAGTGGTGCACATGGCTGAGATCCGCAGAAATAAGTTACAGCTGACTTTCACATACTTATTTTAAATAACCAGCCAAATCTTGAGCTGCAAGGCTATCTGTGTTGCATCAGTTATCATCAAAGGACCATATGCTTACATGCCTTTGGATCTAATTGTCAGTTCTCTACTGGCTGTCTTCATCCAGTCCTCCTCCACCACCACATTCTTCCTGGAGAGCTTGATTTTGACCTTGATGCAGCTGGCGTGGGGACTCTGGTGTTCTCATGGTTCGGAACACCGACTCACAAAGGGAAATCCTGTTCCCTTCTGCTCAAAGCTGAGGCCATGACCTAGTGGCTCCAATTCTTTTTCTTTTAATTTTGAAATCTTTTCATTTGACACTAGAGCTTCTAGATCTCAGAGCAAGTTTGGTGTAGTGGTTAAGAGTGGC